CTGCCTCTCTAGACCCAGTGCCCAGAAAGGGAAGGATCTCTTAGATCAGGGCTTGTGGGAGCAAACTGTGCACTGGGTGGCACTGGCCGGGCAGCCTTCAGGTTCTGTAGCCCTCAGTGGCTCAGCAGAGGCCTGTCCATTCCATCGTAAGTTTCAGCAGCTGCAGGACCTGGGGACCTGTCCTCTGTCTCCAGTGTTTGCAGAGAGATGCCTCCAGTCCCCTGGTCTGTGGGGCCAACGGAATCTAGTTCTAGTCTTTTTTTTTTTTTTGAGGCAGAGTCTCACTCTGTCACTCAGGCTGGAGTGGAGTGCAATGATGTGATTGCGGCTCACTGTAACTTCTGCCTCCCAGGTTCAAGTAATTCTCCTGCCTCAGTCTTCCAAGCAGCCAGAATTACAGGCGTGTGCCAGCATACCCAGATAATTTTCTTTTTGTATTTTTAGTAGAGACCGGGTTTCACCATCACCAGTCCAGGTTGGTCTCGAACTCCTGACTTCAAATAATCCACCTGCCTCGGCCTCCCAAAGTGCTGGGATTACAGGCGAGAGCCACCGTGCCCAACCACTTGTTCTAGTGTTATTGTGAGCTGCCAGGCTTTCGCACCAGCTGTCCAGCACAAGTGACCCATCAGACATTTCAGAATATTTTGTTAAGACTCAGTCACACACTGCCCTTCAGATGTCATCCATGTGCTTATATTCAGACTGCTGCATTATAATCAAAGCACATTGGCCGACTTTATATTGAAAGACCTTCTTTAGCCTTCAACTGATCCAAAGATGATTTGGTGACCAAAGAAGTCTCCATGCTATGTCGCGTTTGCTTGGGGATCCCAAACCACCAGTGTGAATTTTCATGGAGACCCCTACCAATGCCTGCTGTGCTTCATGGAACGAACAGCATTCAAGATTCCTAGAGTAAGGACAGCAGGTGGAGAGCGGTGTTCTGGGCTTTCTCATGAGTCCCCTCCAGTAACCAGTGACAGCGAGCCTCTGTGGGGCGCTGCTCAGGCTTGCAGATTTCTGAGACTCTGGCTTAATGCAGCAGAGACTTTAGAGCTGTGTTGTGCAATACAGTAGCCACTAGTCAGGTGGGCAAATACAATCAGGAACTGAATTTTAAGCTGTATTTATTTAATTAATTCAAATAGTCATGTATAGTTAGGGGCTACCCTACTGGACAGTGACTGGCAGCCTTGGGGTGAGCTGGTGCTCCCAGGGTTCTTTGGGTGGGGGGAATCCTTGGACAGGGAAAACACCCTTCCCACAATCCTTAGGGATGGAGCTTCAAGTCAGTTTGGTCATTAAAAGGAAATTGGGGCCGACCACAGTGGCTCACACCTGTAATCCCAGCACTTTGGGAGGCTGAGGCAGATGGATCACCTGAGGTCAAGGGTTTGAGACCAGCCTGGCCAACATGGTGAAACCCCATCTCTACTAAAAATGCAAAAATGAGCTGTGCATGGGGATGATCCCAGCTCCTCAGGAGGCTGAGGCAGGAGAATTGCTTGAACCCGGGAGGTGGATATTGTAGTGAGCGGCTGCACTCTAGCCTGGGCGACAGAGTGAGACTCTGTCTCAAAGAAATTTTAAAAATAGCTGGGCACGTTGGCTTAGGCCTGTAATCCCAGCACTTTGGGAGGCTAAGGTGGGTGGATCACATGGGGTCAGAAGTTCGAGACCAGACTGGCCAACATGATGATCCCTGGAGGCAGAGGTTGCAGAAGCTGAGATGGTGCCACTGCACTCCAGCCTGGGTGAATGAGCGAGACTCCGTCTCAAAAAAACAAAAAAAAAAGAAAAGAAAACAAAGAAAGAAATTTAAAAAATAAAAGTAAAAGAGAACTGGCCCTGTTTTGACTTCAAGCTGGAGAAACGGGACATCCCTGTGAGATGTATTTATGAGAGCGTACAGGCAGCAAACAGACCTGGGCACATCTCAATTCTCTGGGTTCAAGGTCAGGGAGTTTCCATGCATTTTGATGGAAATGCAGGAGGTTCTCTCTGCCCCTGCTGCCTTTGTGAAATGGTGCCCTGTGTGCTCTGTGGAGGCGCAGAGTGGAGGGGAGTGGTTCCCTGTCCCCTCACCCCAGACTTTGGGGACCAGCAGAGGTCCAAATCTGAGGTCTGTTGCTTACAAAATGCAGCATCTTAGACAGGGACATGGGACTGAAGCTTCTCTGAGGCTCAGTTTATCATCTGCTAAATGGGCACAATACTAGGAATTTTACAGAGCTGTGGGGTGGTCAAAAGAGAAAGACTGTAGAACCCGTAACAGTGCATATACAATACAGACTCCATCTAACCGCTAAATCATACATCTTTATGTATTAAATATCATTCCATCTATTGATTGACTATGGATATCTCCTAAGAATAAATCGACCTCTCTCTGTCCTCAATTTGATTAGGAAAAAGGCTGATTTGATGCATGAGCCAAGGAATGGGTTTAGGAAAATAAACTTCTGGAAAATAAACAGAACCTTAAAGCTACATTTGGTTGAAATGTCCAGTCAGCAAAGCAGTAAGTAAACACCTAAAAGTCATTTCCCCTTTGTACGGTGTTTTGGCTTCTTGCATTTACTTGCTATTTTTAATCTGGTGGCAATTTTGTCACCAGTCCAACAAACCAAATTGGCCTTCCTTATTGAGAGATGGGGCCCGGTAAGTACTAGGTGGGCTCTCTGGAGCACCCCCAGCCATGCGGCATCACCCCCTGCCACACACACACACACACACACACACACACACACACCCCACACACACCCCACACGCAGTGGCCTGCCCCCCCTGTGCCACACACACACACACATACACCCCAAACACACACCACACACAAACACAGTGGCCTGCCCCTGCTGTGCCACACATACACACACACACACACACCCCCCACACACACACACCAGACACACACACACACGCACATGCATGCATACGTGGTGGCCTGTCCATCACCCCAGCAAGCAATTCTCTAATCTCAGGGTGCAAGGAAGAAAGTCCCTTTCTCTGAGACTCCTTCCTTCTGCAAGGTGCAGTCTGGGGCCCTGAGTCCCTGTAGTTCTGTCTGAAGGGGGTATAAGAGGCAGGTTGCCTGGCCTCTTGGGGACATGCTGCTGTGGCCACTACAGCCCCTGCAGAGATCTGCCGCAGCTGGAGGATGCCTGACCTTTGTGCTCCCTACTGAGGTTAGATCACCTAAGTTAGCAGAGTTGGTGTTTATCAAGAGTGCTGAGGCTCTTGGGCAGCTAGCTGGGTTTATGACATGCCTTTCAGCCAGTAGGAAGAATGGGATGGTGGCTCTTTTTTTTTAACTGACATAAATCTACATACCATAAATTTCACCATCTTAAAGAATACAGCTAGGCGCAGTGGCTCATGCCTGTAATCCCAACACTTTAGGAGGCCAAGGCGGAGAGATCACGAGGTCAGGAAATCGAGACCATTCTGGCTAACACAGTGAAACCCTGTCTCTACTAAAAATACAAAAAAATTAGCTGGGTGTGGTGGCACGCACCTGCAGTCCCAGCTCATAGGGAGGCTGAGGCAGGAGAGTCACTTGAACCCAGGAGGCTGAGGTTGCAGATCGCACCTGAGCGACAGGGCAAGACTCTCTCAACAATAACAAAGTATACAACTCCACAGGTTTTAGTATATTCACAAAGTTGCACAACCATCACCACTAATTCCAGAACATTTTCATTTTTTTTTTTTTTTTGAGACAGAGTCTTGTTCTGTAACCCAAGCTGGAGTGCAGTGGCACCATCTCAGCTCACTGCAACATCTGCCTTCCAGGTTCAAGTGATTCTCCTGCCTCAGCCCCCAAGGTAGCTGGGACTACAGGTATGTCCTACCTTGCCAGGCTAGTTTTTGTGAATTTAGTAGAGATGGGTTTCACCATGTTAACCAGGCTGGTCTCAAACTCCTGACCTCAAGTAGTCCACTCACCTCTGCCTCTGGAAGTGCTGGGATTATAGGTGTAAGCCACCATGCCCAGTCAGAACATTTTCATCCATTAATTAATTTATTTTTAAATTTTTAAATTAGTTAATTAATTAGTTGAGCTTGTTTCAAATTCAGTGGCCTTGATTCCGCAAGCCACAGCAGTTAGAAACAAGGATATCAGTAAATTTTTGGATGGTATCTATGTCTCTGAAAAAGGAACTGTTCAACAACAAGATGCCAGATGACTCCTAAGACCTACTTTGTACCCCTTCCCCGCCCTCCCCCAGGCCTGGGCTTCTGGTCCTTCCTACTCCCTGCAGCAGGAGTGGTGATTTTCCCACTGAAGTGATATCTAAATGATGCGATAAAATACTTACTGATTTGGAACATTTCCTTAAAAAACAAAAAAAATTAACTAATTAGTTAATTTTTAAAGACAAAGTCTCTGTTGTCCAGGCTGAAGTGCAGTGGTGTGATCTTGGCTCATTGCAGCCTCAAACGCCTGCCTCAAACGATCCTCCTGCCTCAGCCTCCTGAGTAGCTGGGACTACAGGTGTACACCACCATGTCTGGCTAATCTTTAATTTTTTTGTAGAGATCGGGTCTTACTCTTTGCCCAGGCTGGTCTCGAACTCATCCTCCTTTTTAAATTCTCACTTCTGAACAAGATGGCGCCATGGGCTCGCTGGAGATCCATGCTCCTTGGGTTCCTTGCCGGGCTTTCCCATTGGCTTGGATTGGGATGTTTCTTTCCCAAGCACTTTATTGAGTTCATTTTTCTCATCCAAGGTAAAAAGTTACTCTCAGAGGGGGAGGTTGGCAGGGCACAGTGGCTCACATCTGTAATCCCAGCACTTTGGGAGTCCAAGGCGGGTGGATCACTTGTGGTCAGGAGTTCAGGACCAGCCTGGCCAATGTGGTGAAACGTCATCTCTAGTAAAAACACAGAAATTAGCTGGGCATGGTGGCAGGTGCCTGTAGTCCCAGCTACTCAGGAGGCTGAGGCAGGAGAATCACTTGAACCCAGGAGGTGGAGGTTGCAGCGAGTCGATGAAATTGTGCCAACCAACGTACTCCAGCCTGGGCAACAGAGTGAGACTCCGTCTCGGGAAAAAAAAAATGGTGGGGACAGGCTGAGCAGGCAGTCACCACCATATCTGGGCCTCTGGGCCTCTGGGCCTCTGTGGTTAAATGCAGGACTCAAGAAAGGCTTCCTGAGGGACCATTGTGCACCGTGTCTGGGGAGGTGGGTGTGCTGCGACAGGAGTGGTTAATTGAGGCTCGTCCGTGCTACCTCTGTGCTTCCCTTTCTCCAAAGCCCTCTTTGCTGTGGCCTGTAGGTTAAAGGTGTAAGCTCAGATGTGGAAATCTTGATGCTGGATGGATTTTAGATGAGATATAGGTGGGTTTGGTGTCCTCATGCCTGGCAGGGCTGGGAAGAAGTGAGACAGAGTTTAGCAGACAGCGAGGCCTTTACAAAACAGTCTTTGTCAACACAAAAATGTTTAAAGAAAAAAAAAAATGAGGCCTAGACTTGGTGTGGCCTCTCTGGATGGGAAAGTGGGTAAGAATCAGGTTATTTCAATTCTCTAGTTGGCAGAGTCTGGTGTCTCTAAAGCGGATTCATCCTACTGTTAGCTGTCCAGGTCCAGGTGTTTTGGTGGCTGTGAAAGGAAGCAAGAAGAAAAGAGCCCACAAGGGTGGGGACCTCCACGGGGAATGCTCTCGGGAACGGAGAACCCATGTCCCCTCAGTGCCTGGAACACTACAGCTGCTTCATAGAGACTTTAGAAGAGCGACTTCTGTGTGCAGTCACTCTGTCTTGCGCAATCCTTATCATCACCCTGAGGGTAGGGAGGTGTCCATTCATTTCATTTCATTCATTCATTCATTCCACAGTACTAATTGCCTGCATACCAGGAGCCTGATGCTGTCGGCATATGTGAGGACACCCTCAGAGTGGGGAAGCAATTTGCGAAGTTGAGGCAGGATGGCAGGTGTGTAAGGGGTGAGGGCTTGGGGAACCCACGGGCACCACCTTGGGTCGTGGGTCCACTACCACTCTCCTCCCTGCGTTGGTGGCCAACCCAGTCTTACCTTTCAGGCCCTAATTTCCTCACTGTAAATGGAGCCGTCCTAGAACTTATTTCAAAGGGCTGTTTGAAGATTGGATGCAGGGGGAGTTTGGGGAGATGCTGGCACATTGTCCAAGGCCTTGTAGTGAGTCAGGGTTGGAACCCACTTTTGTCTGATCACAAAAACAGACCTCGGCCGGGCGTGGTGGCTCACGCCTGTAATCCCAGCACTTTGGGAGACTGAGGTGGGTGGATTACCTGAGGTCAGGAGCTCGAGACCAACTTGGCCAACATGGTGAAACCCTGGCTCTACAAAAATACAAAAATTAGCTGGGCATGGTGGTGGGTGCCTGTAATCCCAGCTACTTGGGAGGCTGAGGCTGGAGAATCACTTGAACCTGGGAGGTGGAGGTTGCAGTGAGCCGAGATCGTGCCATTGCACTCCGGCCTGGGCGCCAAAAGCGAAACTCCGTGTAAAAAAACTAGACTTCTCCCTTGCCATGGGCTGCCTCTAGGACCCATCTGCCTCCTTTTATCCCTCTGAGTCTTTGAGGATCTGAGAAGCCGTTCACCTACCTGCCTGGCGGTGACAGGCACCGTGGGCTGAGAGTGGCTGTGGAAATGCGCCCCAGCAACAGGTGTAGGAAAAGTAGGCCTGACCTGCGGCCATCCACCTGCACCTGGGCGTTCTCGCCTGAGGCTGGCTCACTGCTTCTCTAGGACTGTTCTAGAATCCTGCAGGAGTTTGGAAAACATGAGCTCAGCACAGACACCTCTGAGAATGAGCTCACCATCCACCCCCAACCCCACCGTGAGAATGGGGGCAGGTCACCCCTGGCCTCCTCTCAGGCCTCCGAGGGTGCCCAAATGTGATTACGCACCAGGGTAGCATTAGCTTCCCTGTCCTCCTCCTGAAGAGTCGCTTTCTCCCAGTGCAGGAGGAATGAGTCTCCCGTTCTCACCCCAGGGAGGAGAATCCGCCCTTTGGTTTTGCGCAGGTGGAGATCTAGGCGGCGAGGTTCGGAGCTCTGCAAACCATGAGTGTGCGAGGAGGTCTAGTTTTAGATAAAACCGTTTCTGTCCCGCAACAACCCCGAGGGCAGAAACCCTTCCAAAAGGAGGCACAGAGAGACTTTCTGTCCTCTTGATACCGGGACGCAGTGGTCCCGGGGCAGCTTCTCCTGGGAGGGTTGCGGGGCGCACTGGCTGGGATCTATAGTGGTTGGGACAGGAGGGTGGGTGGGGAGCCCCGTCTGCATAGTGGCGGGAGGTCTTCGGCTCTGCCCCTGCCCGCGCCCTCCTACTCACCCCAAGGGCTCCCCACCGCGCGCGCAGGGCAGCGTGGAAACGGTGGGAAATGCAGGGCGCGCGCCTCGGGGGCTGCCCCAGCTCCCCCCTGCAGCTCGGTGCTCAGGACCCGCGTCCGACTTTGCCTCTCCCGGAACCTTTAAGGCCGGTGCGGGGAGCTGAGCCCCGGCCCCTGGGCTGAGCCAAGCCCTGCCCGGCACAAGGTCCCCACCGTGGCGCACCCGGCTCCCGAGCGCTGCGCGCCCACAGTGTCCCTTCCTACCCCAGCCACCTGGGACCCGAGAGCCGTGCAGGGCCGGGCCTCGGGCCCCGAGGCACCCGGAGCCAGGTCAGCCCCGCAGCCCGCGGCGCCGGAACTTGGGGGTGCGGTGAGTGGGGGCGGGGCGCCGGGCCGGCGAGAGGTGGCTGTGGCCGGGTGCCGGTTTCTGGCTTTAGAAGTCCTTTCGCGTCTTCTAGAATCCGGGGCTGCATTGGCCCTCCGAGGTCTCCGGACTGCCAATGTCGCAGAGACAGCAGGTCCAGACCCGGGACATCCCCTACACCCGAGTCCAGGATCTGGGTTTCTTCCCTCTTCCAGGGGAGAGGCCCTCCCACTGGGCGTCGCGGCGAGCCCCCAGTGGTTTCTGTTTGCTTTTTTACAGTACCCCCCACCCTGCCCTGGCCCGGCCCCACTCGGGCCTTGGTCCCACCGCGAAGGGGCGAGGAATCCCCGGAAGAGTCGCGATGACTGGGGAGTCCGGGACCTCGGCTCCGGGTAGGCGCGCCCCGGGACCAGGCGGCGGCGTGGGCGAGGGGCGCTGCGCAAACTCCGCGCTCTCGCTGGGGAAACGCCAGCCCAGGCGGGCGGCAGTGGAGGGGATATAGGGGGGACCCCGTGCCCGGTGGGACTGGCCCCGCGGTGGTACCCACGCCGCCCCCCTACGGGCGCCCCGCATCTACGCCCTAGGCCGCGGCCGGCGCTCCGACCCCTCCCCCGCACCGACGTGACCCGGATCGCGCGGTGCTGGCGCCGCCCTCGTGCGCCCCGCCTGGCCCCCACTTGGTCCCCTTTCCTTTTCAGGTGGAGGAGCTGCCGCCACCCCGTTGGTCTTGGGCGAGCCTAGCTCCCAGGATCCCGGGCTGGAGAGACGCGTCGCGGCCCTGGGCCCGGTGGCACGGGCAGGAAGGAGGACCCGGCGGCGGGCTCTGCCTGGGCTTGCCTGGGCTTGTTCCGAGCCGGCTGCTTCCCGGTGACCGAGCAGATCGGGGGCTTTTGGAGATTTTGCGGGAGTCCTGCAGCCAAGCCCCGGGGCAGCAGAGGCCTGGAAGCCTGCACTACCTGCTCGCTCCGCCCCAGCGGGCACCCAGGTAAACGCTTGTGTTTCTCAGTCTGTGCGAAAGTTTGAAAAGAAGGAGGCGGGAACTAGACCAACAACTTGAATAATCATAGTCATCATAATGAAAACCCTGTTCAATTGTGTATCCTGTGTCAAAAGGGAAGGACTTCCCAAGAAGCAACAAAATGCTCTTTGATTTCATCATATCTGGGAAGAAAGGATTCCTTTTTGGGGGGTTTTGCCTGGCTAGTTCTTTCTTCTCTCCTCGTTCTCCAGCCTGGTGCGAGGAAGTCCGATGGGTCCATGCGTGGGAAATGGCTCACGCCTGTAATGCCAGCACTTTGGGAGGCCGAGGCGGGTGGATCATGAGGTCAGGAGATCGAGACCTGGCCAGTGTGGTGAAACCCCGTCTCTACTAAAAATACAAAAATTAGCTGGGTGTGGTGACACGTGCCTGTAGTTCCCAGTTACTCGGGAGGTTGAGGCAGGAGAATCCCTTGAACCTGGGAGCCGGAGGTTGCAGTGAGCCGAGATTGCGCCATTGCACTCCAGCCTGGGTAACAAGAGCGAAACTGCGTCTCAAAAAAAAAAAAAAAAATCTCGCAAGAATGGGAAAGGAAAAATACTTCGGCCACTAAAGTAGCCTTGTCTAAGAGGTTGAGGCTTTGGTGGACTTTTGCTCTAGAAGAGGGGAACGGGAGGGGCTTTCAGCCAACCTGGCCGCGAGGTGAACGCGCGCGCGCCCTCTGCTGCCCAAAGCTCTGTCCAGCCTGGGAGCCGCCGGTGGGGAAGGAGACTGTGGGGGAGGTGGTCCCTGGAGTTCGCTGCTCCTCTCCTGGAGCAGCGGGTGCCAGCTCTGCCGAGGCTCCCTCTCCCAGGTTACGTGGATGAGACCTGTAGCACCGACAGGGCACATACTTAAGCGCCTCCCTGTTTCTGTCAGGTGGGGTACAGGAGCTAGGCTCTGCAGAAGGTTCCAGAGCCTGGGGCTTCCTGCAGCATCCACGCTAGGCTCCTGGAGCCCAGGCATGGCAGGGCTGCTCTCTGCATATATACATACATGCATGTGAAACTCTAGCAGATGCCAAGTCACGTTAGGGGGGCAAAATGGCCCACTGCAGTTATGTAAGCCAGTTCTGCCTCTGCCCAGTTCTGAGAGATCTTTGGGACAAATGGCCATTCCCTTGAGTCCCTGTGTCTTCCTGCATGAGCCACAAATGCTGCGTAGTCATGGCTGAGGAAGACAGGAGGTGCCTGGACTTGCTGACATTCCCCTTGAAGGACTATCCAGGAGCAGAGGGAGCATCTGGGGGCAGCATCAGTTGGTACCCTGGGCCCACTGGCATCTACTGCCACATGGGTTAGTGGCCAGTCTCCTAAGATTCCTCAGCCTGGCCAAGACTGGCCAGGACTGCCCTGCTGTCCCCTCCCAATCCAGCTTTCTCTTGGGCCTCCAGGATCCCTTGGCTAACTGGTGAGGAGGCTGTGAGGACTGTGCTTTTACATGCCACGCCTGCCCTTGGCACGAATCGCAAATCAATAATGCTAGACAGGCCGCTAGGTCTTTCTCTCCATGGCATCCACGCAGTGCTTCCCATTGATTGTGCCACCCAATTGCCACACCAGCCCTGCACCTGCCCTTGTAACTGGCCCCTGGGCTGGGGGTACAGGAGGGTGCCAGGATGAACAAGATGCTGCCCCTGGTGATAGGACGTACTACCTCCAGCCAGAGGTGATCAGATCTATGCATAAGAAAATAACTAGGCAGGGCCAGGTGTAGTGTCTCATTCCTGTAATCCCAGCACTTTGGGAGGCGGAGGCAGGAGGATCACCTGAGGTTAGGAGTTGAAGACCAGCTTAACCAACATGGAGAAACCCCATCTCTACTAAAATTAGCCGGGCATGGTGGTGCATTCCTGTAATCCCAGCTACTCAGGAAGCTGAGGCAGGAGAATTGCTTGAACCCAGGAGGCAGAGGTTGCGGTGAGCCGAGATTGCACCATTGCACTCCAGCCTGGGCAACAAGAGCAAAACTCTGTCTCCAAAAATAAATAAATAAATAAATAAATAAGTAACTAGGCAGGACTCATTCATTCATGCAAATATTTACAGAGTCCTTGCTATAAGCAGTGAGTCACGGACGAGAAACCTACGGAAAGATGAGGTGGAGGGCTTTTCAGGCGGAAGGGTTAGTAAGTGCAAAGGCCCTGTGTTTGGTGCATTGGAGAAAATGCAAGAAAGCCGGTGAGACTGAGGATGAACTCGTGACAGTTGGCAATGAGTATCACAAAAACGAGGAAGTTTTCTTGTCTAGCCCTGAAGTTTGCCTTGGTTGGCAGATCCTTCCTTCCCAGAGAGCACAAATCAGTACTGCTGCTTCGGCTGTCTGTCTGACGTATTTATAAGAATGAACTGTTTTATTTTTTATTTATTTATTTTTTTTTTATTTTTTGAGACAGAGTCTTGCTCTGTCACCAGGCGCCAAGCTGGAGTGCAGTGGCACGATCTCGGCTCACTGCAACCTCTGCCTCCCAGGTTCAAGCAATTCTCCTGCCTCAGCCTCCCGAGTAGCTGGGACTACAGATGCCACCATGCCCAGCTAATTTTTGTATTTTTTTTTAGTAGAGACGGGATTTCACCATGTTGGCCAGGATGGTCTCTATCTCTTGACCTCGTGATCCATCCGCCTCGGCCTCCCAAAGTGCTGGGATTACAGGCGTGAGCCACCGCGCCCAGCCTAGAATGAACTGTTTAGTGCAGGCTCTGGGAGGCAGTGCCACACAGGTCGTTGACATACCTGGTGCGGATCTTTTTTCTCCATTCACCCTGGGGCCCCAATATTTCAGTAAGGATGTGGATTTAGAGTTAAGGACACGCCTTCCAGCTCCATCTCTGTCACTAGCTGCGCTAATTTGGAAATAGGACTTCCTTTCCTGGCTTTGGTTCCTCATCTATAAAAATTGCCCTTATGTTAGGACAACTTGGTGGAGGCATGGGATAAAATAATTAGATAATGTACGTAAACCACGGAGCAGGGTGCTGTGGCAGCTATTAGGTAGGATCAGCGATAAAGCGCTTTGCTTTCATGGATATTTTATATGTTCACTAAATCAGAACCTTCCTCTATGCTAATGTAGTCTAGTGAGGTCTGGGGAGTTTCTTGTTTGATTTTTGCATTGCAAATAAATATTTTTCTCTTCCCCTTCCTAAAAAAAAATCATTGTTGTTTTTTTTTTTTTTTTTTTTTTTTAAATGAGACAGGGTCTCACTGTGTCACCCAGGCTGGAGTGCCCTGGCACAGTCATAGCTCACTGTAACCTGGAACTCCTGAGCTCAAGTGATCCTCCTGCCTCCACAACCTGAGTAGCTATCGCTAAAGACATGTGCCATCATGCCCAGCTAATTTTTAAATTTTCTGTAGAGACGGGATCTTCTCATGTTTCCCAGGTTGGACTCAACATTGTGGGCTCAAGCGATCCTCCTGCCCCAGCCTCCCAAAGTGTTGGGATTACAAGTGTGAGCCACCATGCCCAGCCTACTTTTTTTTCATTAACTAGTATTGCAAATATTTAAATGGAGTAAAATGCCTTGAGTTGATGCCAAAAGGAAAAGGAAGGGTCTAGAGTGGGATCCATTTGACTGAGGCATGACCCGGTTTGAGTACACCCTCTCCCGTGTCCCTGGGACAGCACCTAGGGCAGGCAGTGGAGCTGGGGAAGGGCTTGGCACGTCAGAGCTCCTGTGTCTCGCATTCACGAGGCGTCAACCCATCAGGCTCACCCCAGGGCCCCGCCTTGACCTCCATGGCACCAGGTGGCTCTTTCTCTGCACTGTCATTTGGGGCTCTTGGCCTTCCCACCTCACCCTGC